GCCCGGTACTGGAGATGGGGACTGACGGGAACCCCTCGCTCCGGAGTGACTAGCAGATGCACTCGGCACGGAAGAACCCTGAACTGATGGGGCATGAGATGAACTCTGAGCTGGGAGGGCGCTAAGTGAAGTCTGCCCCTGCTGGGGCCCATGATGACCACGGCCTGAAGATCCCCCACGATACTCTGGACGAGCTGACTGAGCAAGCCTGAAAGAGCGACCTCTACCCTGCTAGAACTGACCTCTCGACGGAGCACCACTGTAACTGCCCGATCCACGAGGCCTCTTAGCCTCCCTCTCCTTTCGCTCTCTATGGTGAACTGACTCAATCTCACGAGCAATGTCTACCACCTCCTCAAATGTAGCACCCAGTACTCTCTCTCTAGTCATCAGAATACGGAGATGGTAGTTAAGACCATCCACAAATCTCCTGATCCTCTTACGATCTGATGGAACCATCCAAGTAGCATAAAGAGCCAGCTGGGAAAACCTCATCTCGTACTGAGTCACTGTCATATCTCCCTATGTCAACCACTCAAACTGCCTACGCAACTCCTCCCTGCGGGACTGAGGTATATACTTCTCCAGAAAAAGAGCTGAGAACTGCTGCCAAGTCAGAGGTGCTGCACCGGCAGGCCTACGCCTCTCAAAGTCCTCCCACTAAGTAAGAGCAACCCCCTGAACTGAAATGTAGTAAATGCCACACCACTCGACTCGAGGATCCCTGCAGTACGGAGCATACGCTGACACCTGTCAAGAAAACTCCGGGCATCCTCGCCCTCAGCACCATCGAATGTCGGAGGCTGGAGTCTACCAAACCTCTCGAGACGACGCTGCTCATCGTCTGGCATCGCTGGAACCACAAAACCCTAAGCTGGAGCAACCTGCTGAACTGGAGGTGCCTCCGGTGTTTGTAGCCCCTGCACTCCCTGCGCAGGTGTGCGGGCATCGGGGGTCTGATTGCCTCCCCCGGTCTGTGAAGTAGCTGCTGCTACTGTGGTGGATGAAACTGCCTGAGCCAAGCCAGTACAGACCGTCAAGATCTATGCCAAGGTCTCCTGAAGACCCGGAATCACAATAGGCACAGCTGGTGCCTGAGCACGTGCTGCTGGAGTCTCCACCGCTGGAGTCTGATCCTGAGCTGGGGCAATTATCGGATTAGCAGGTACTGCCCCGGCTACTCTACCCCTGCCACAACCACGACCGCATCCACGGCCTCTGGCGGCCTCAGTAGGTGGCTCTGGTGGTCGTCCGTCGCATTCAGTAGCTCGTGTTCTCACCATCTGTGAGAGAGTAGAAATAATAAAGATTTAGTTCACAGTTCAACAAAGCCGCACGACAAGAGTTTCAAGAATATGAAGTATTTCCTAAAGGTTCTGCAGCCTCTCGAGGATAAGTACAGATGTCTCCGTACCGATCCACGAGACTCTACTAAACCGGCTCATGACTCGCGAGACCAAGTAACCTGGGCTCTGATACCACCTTGTCACGACCCAACCCCGATCGTGATGGCGCCCAACACACTGCTAGGCAAGCCCGACCATTTCTACAACCTTAACCGATTTAATCACAGTGAATAAGTAAATTTTCACAACTAAATACCAAATTAAATGCGAAATCCTGAATTAGATGCTAACATTCGAAAACCCAAAATATAAAATACTAACCAGCCCACCGAATCTGGTGTCACAAGTCTGAGCCGCTAATGCATGAGTATTAACCTACTACATAATGTTTTCTAAAAATGTGGGAAAATAAATAAATAAAATAGAAGGAAGATCAGGACTGCGAACGCCAATTTGCAGCTACCTTGAATCTCCCTAATGTGATGCTAGGCGGAGAAGATCTCACTCAGCCTCAGTGGGTGCACCTGAATCTGCACACAAGATGCAGGGAGTATTGTGAGTACTTCCAACTCAGAAAGTAATAAATATAAATAAAGTCTGAGGATAAGAAATCCGAAATAAACACAAAGGAAAGCTATAAATACAACAACGTGAACCAATAACATAATACAGTAAACATTGAAAATAATTATAATAAAGTCACATCAGATTAAGAATAAATTACAATTAAATATGCAATGCAACACATAAACCGGTACTCTCCAGTACCCCGCTGCGGCGTACAGCCCGCTCCATTTATTTAACGTCGACGGCGCTCACTAGGGGTGTGCAGATTCCGGGAGGGGCCCCTTACGGCCCAAGCGCAATAATAAGCCATATCGTGGCATCAAACAGGCCCTCGGCCTCATATCAATATCAATATCGTACCACTGCGGCGTGCAGTCCGATCCCATACTCAGTCCCAAAATCACATAAGCCTTTCGGCACAATAATATAAAAATATTCAGCCCAAACTTCATTTAAAAATATTGCTTTAGTTTCTACTTTTTAGAAAAATGGCTGAGTTTACAAAACAGTGTTAAATACCAGGACTGAGTTCAATATCTAGAAATATGGTAAGAAACCAGTAAAATAATCCCTGAAGGATTCAAGTAGTTGGCACGAAGCCCAATTATGACAATTAATCCATTTTTATAAGGATATCACAAAACTACAATCAATTAGGTAGTAATTTTTTATTAAGCGGGACGGACCAAGTCACAATCCCCGACGGTGCTCTACCCCACGCCCATTATCCGGCGTGCAAGTCATCTCACATAGCACTACATTGTGCAAATTCGGGATTTCAAACCCTCAACACAACATTTACATTTATTACTAACCTCAAGCTGGCCAAAGTCCTAGCTTGCTATGCCCTTGCCTTTCGAATTAACCTCCTTGCGCGTCGAATCTGACCAAAACCACAACGAATATGTCACAATATGCTAATGGGACAATACCCAATCGAAAATAATCGAAAAATAGATAAATTCCCGAAATTAGCAAAAACCCGAGCCCCGGGCCCACTTCTCGAAAATCAGAAAATTTACCATCAACGGATTCCTTATCTCGCCACGAGTCTATACATACCAAAAACTCTCAAATCGGACCACAAATAGCCCCTCAAATCCCAAATTTAGAATTTCAATCTCAAGCCCTAATTTCTTACAATTTGGCTAAATTCTCAAGGATTTCAAGGATGATTCTACAATATAATCATGTTTTTAACTCCTACAACTTACCTCAAACAATTCCCAGTTGAAACCCGCTTCAAATGCTCCCAAGTAGCTCTCAAAGTGCTCAAAAATGGTGGAAAATGGGTTTGGGGTCGCGGATGAACTGTTTTTAACATTCTGTCCGGGCACTGTAGCTAACACTATGCGATCGCATCCAAGCTCCTGCGATCGCATAGCACAAATTTTCCAAGCCTCCAAAATACCCTATGCGATCGCAACTAAACCTCTGCGATCGCAATGCACCATCTAACGACACTGTGCAATCGCAACACTTCTCATGCGATCGCATAGCACAACCAAACAGCCCCTATAATTCCTTCTATGCGATCGCAGCCCTTGCTATGCGATCGCATAGAGCAAAATTGCTCTGCACTGACTGCTGCATTTCTGCAACATTTTCAAACTTCAAAAATTCCCGTTAGCCATCCGAAATCACCCCGAGGCCCTCGGGACCTCAACCAAAAGCATCAACGCATCCTAAAACGTCATTCAAACTTGCTCCAACCATCAAAACACCTCAAACAACACCAAAACCACCAAATTACGTCGGATTCAAGCCTAAGTTCTTTTAAAACTTCTAAAACACGCATTCGATCAAAAACCTACCCAAAACACGTCTGAATGACCTAAAATTTTGCACACATATCCCAAATCACCTAACGAAGCTACAACAACTCTCGGAATTCCATTCCGACTCCTGGATCAAAATTTCACCTATCAACCGAAAATCGCCAAAATACTAACTTCGCCAATTCAAGCCTAATTCTACACCGGACCTCCGAAATTACTTCCGATCACACTCCCAAGTCACAAATCATCCCCCGATGCTAACCGAATCATCGGAATTTATATCCGAGCCCTCTAACATATAAGTCAACGTCCGGTTGACTTTTCCAAAGCAAACCTTCCTTAAAGAGACTAAGTGTCTCATTTCCTTCTAGAACCAATCCAAATCAGTTTATTCACACCAAACACTGATAATGAAGCATAAAGAAATAGAAAATGGAAAAAACGGGGCGGTAACACACGTGACGACGGGTTGGGTCGTCACACTTATTATGCTAAAAAAGTTACTGCAATAACTGAAAGCAACAAAATTTCAACAAAATTGTGACGGGATTGTAAAGAAAATATGGTATTCACTTCACTCTGATAAAAGTTAGGGAATATTCCGAAAAGGGAAATTAAGGAAACGTTTGGCTATAGTTTTCGAATATTTTTTTTAAAAGTTGATTTGTGTGAAGTTTGACTTGAAATAATAAAAGTGTTTGTACATGAATTTTACGGCAAACTTTGACATGTTAAAAAGTCTGGAATTGACCCAAAAAAGGTTTTAAGTTATATTTGGGATTTGAAGTTTTGGTTCGTAAAATCTCTTAAAAATTATTAATTCTATAAACAAACACATAGTTAAATTTATTTTTTATGTAAAGAAATGATTTAAAAGAAGAAACATTTCCAGAAAGCTGAAAAAAGAAAAATACCAACCCTTTTAGCATATTCAACGTATGGCTCACGTAGAATGAATTTTAATAAATCAAAAAGGAAACGCAACTCAATCGGATTTCACTTGATTCTTGGCAATTTCTCAACTTGATAAGCTTCAAGTATTCAGCTGCTCAAATCCGAACATCTGGTTGTCAAATCATCGTCTATCCAAATCCTTGTAGTAGGTGAATCTTCTCTTTATAGCCCTTTGTTAGAGTTTTGAGCTTTTAAGCATTACCTAACTTGTATTTACATTTAACCAAAGTTGATCTAATTACATAAAAAAACAGTTGAATTATTGCTGGGTCTTGATTTCCTCTCTAAATCATTCAATTTCAGCTCAAGCTATTTGTTGGGTACATCTTTCCTTTTTTTCAATCTTATCTTGAAAATGTGTGGTTACTACAGTACATTTTTACAGGATTAGACGACAATTCGTTTCTTAATCGGAATTCACATCGTGTTTTTTCTGCCGTGGGTAGTGTGGATAAGGTTATTCATATTGGACTCAGTTGCTTTAGGGTTATCTGACAAAGACCTTAATCTGGTTCCCTTTTACTCTAGGAGCATGTTGATCCCATAAGTTTCTTTTTTTCCAACTCCAAAAGGTAAATAACAAGTTTGTGAGAGAATGTATCACATGTCAATGTTTCAAATTTATTTATCAATTTTTGACTATGATTTAAATTACCCTCGAGTTGGTTATACTTGCAATAACAGTCCATATTTGTATGTGAGGCAAATACATATTCCACTAATTGGAGAAGTTATATTTCTCAGTTTTGTAGCAATGATACAAATTAAGGCACTTTTAATTCAATGTAGGAACATTTTGAATTTTGTTGTATATGAGCTGATATAAAAATATCGCATAAACTAATACTTGCAAATTATTCAGGCTCCGATTTGCTCAATGAGAACGGAGGGTCAGAGTACAGATATATTGGAGAATACGAGCAATGTACATAATAAATTGGCTCATCCAATGATTCATTCTTTTTTCTCTGGATTCCAGGAAAAGGTCCAAGAATGTGTTAAGGTTTGTTCTTCCCTCTTCAAAATGCTTTCTACCTGTTGACATATATTTTAATATGTATTCACAAATTTTCTTCATTGCTGTAGTCAAATTTCAAAAGACTGAAAATGGGTCATGATACATCAATCTCTTCAATCATGAGAGGTAATAACAGAGGAGCATCTGCAGTCATAGATGTGGACAAAGAGAAGCAATTACAATCTTGGAAAGAAAATCCAAGATGGGTTGATCAACCCCCAGATATAAAGGTAAAAACTTAGTCAATTTGTTGGTCGGGTGCAAATTCCTATTGCTGCACTTTAAGACAACACTGAATGGACTGCTGAAGCTAGGCCCTCATAACACTTTATTGGGATATGACCTCCTAGTTTCTCGGGCTGTATTTCGGAAGAATGATTTCAACATTTCAAATTTGAAAATTTCATCATATAGATATGTACTATATATTGTAACGTTAATGTTAGGTCCATTAACTCATATCTCCACCACAGATCTTCTTTCTATTAACTTATTCAGTCTTCTTTTATAATAAATTTTTTCGGCCGTTTCTTGTCTTGTGCATGTTATATTTATGCAGAGGCCACGTTAATCTTCTCTAGATGATTCCAGTTTTATCATATAATCTGGAGGGTAATTATTTAGTATTACGGCACAAGGAAGTAAAGGAGAGCATAAAGGATTGATTGTTTCGTAGTTTATATTTCTTCCTAAGAATGCTCCAAGAGGATGGTATGATAGATGAAAATGTTACATATAGAATCATAATAGAATTGTTGAAATGGAGAAGTGCTATCGGAGTGTTATGTAATAAAAGAATACCTACCAAAGTAGGAAAGCTTTATAGCAAAGTTGTAAGACCAACAATGTTATATGAGAGGAATGTTGGGCTGCTAGAGTCCAGCATATCCGCAAAATGAGTTTCGCAGAGATGCGGATGCTAAGATAGCTGTGCAGTCATACAAGAGTAAAAATGATCACATTTGATAGAAGGTGCAAGCAGCACATATTGAGGATAAAATAAGAGAAGATCTCTTTATATGATTTGGTCATGTCCTATATCGACCTTCAGATGCACAGATTCGCAAGTGTGCAACCATGGTGAGTGAAAGTATTGATAGGGGACGAAGTAGACTTAGAACCACATGGAAGGTAGTTGCCTTGAAGGACCTACTATCTCTTGGAATCCATGCAGACCTAGCAAAAAATTAGGGCAAATATAAAAAAATAAAGATCTATATAGACGACACCAATTAGTTAGGATTAAGTTTTTGTCATGGTATGTTTACTTTAGTCCTATGGCTTTCTGGAGCTTTTTAGTCCCGTAAGAGATCTATATGCTAGTAGAAAATACAAAAAGCTTCTGGTACTCTCTTTGTCCCAATTTATGTGACGGTGTTTGACTGGGTGCGAATTTTAAAAAACAAAGACTGACGGTTGAAACTCGTGGTCTTAAACATGCTATACAACAATTTGTGGGTATAAAATTATGTCATTTATGTAAAATGTGAAGTTTAAAGTTAAATTGTTTCTTAATATAGAAATGTATCATTCTTTTTGGAACAGTTTAAAAAGGAAAGTATGTGATAGTGAGATGAGGAAGTACTTTTTTGTTTTAGTTTTAATTTTTATGTATAATATTGGACTGAGATGAGCTGAAATGAAGTGATATGGTCAGTGAGTAATCCTAAGCCAACTCCAACTTGCATGGGAATGATCGTAGTTGTTCTTGTTGTATATTTGTTCGAAGAGGTCAGATATTCAGAGACGTGACCACCACATGTGTTGTACATTGTAGAGCTTAGTTGTGATGTTTGATCGTCTTATGAGGCCTTAAGATTTTATTTTTTTGAGAAGGTAATGTGAAGTTAAATCCTTGCAGGTAAGTGTACCCAAAGGTTCTCTCTGCAACCTAAGTGTGAAAGTTAATGTTGGACTGCCCCCCGAAACTGTGTATGACATTGTAACTGATCCTGAAAATAAAAGAGTCTTCAAGAATATCAAGGTAAGATATCTCATTAAGATGTTGGAAAACCTCATCTCACCACAATCTGTTCAACGAAAGTAGTACTGACCGCAGTAAAGTTTTTTCCCTTTTATATCTCTTCTATCTCTCTCTTCTCTTAAGCTTTATGATTATGTGCCTTTTCACTTCTAAATCTGATGCAAACTTTCTACATATATCAGGAAGTAGTATCAAGGAAGGTGCTGGTTGATGAAGGTTTAAGACAAGTGGTGGAATTAGAGCAAGCCGCAATATGGAGATTTCTTTGGTGGTCAGGAACTATAGCTGTTCATGTATTAGTGGACCAGAACAGAGAAAACCACACAGTAATGACCGACATGATCACTGATTAATTGCTAGGTTTTTATATGTTAGACCACATTGCCTATTTTTTATCTGTTATATCACTAATTAACAGAAAAAGGTGAGAAACCTATCATGCAAGTATTAGCTTGGCCAGTAGTAATTGAACTTTCAGTAATCCAGTATATTTCTGCATTAAGTTTGATGCTGAAAAACTATCAGGTGTGTTCTTGATATATACCAATCTGTTAGACCAGCTGGCAGCTTACAAAAGTAACCACACAACTTGGAACCTTTTGTCTCACCTTGATATATTGCGAACCAATATCCTTATGCAGCATGAAATTGCAAATTCTCACTTTCCACTCCGAGTTATTTAGATTTGAGCCTTTGACTGTAAATACTAGCACAGTTGTAGGCTGAAGAAGTGTTTGAGAGTGGTGCTTTTAAACAAAAGAACTTCTAAAAGTCTTTGGAAGATCACTGCAGGTACTTCTGTTGCAGTCAGTAGAATAGTATGCCTAAAAGGTAGAGCTTTGCGTTAAGTGCTTTTTTTTAAAAGCAACAATAGTATCTAACAGCAAACCTGACATCGTGGTTCACCATATTTCTAATTGATGCTAGTTTGCAAAACTGCAATGGAAAAGAAAACTAGGATTACATGATTATTCACTTTATCCTAGACCAAGAAATTTTGCAATTATATCATGTTTACCTACTGTAATATCAATTTTAGCTTTTGGTATTTCTCGTACGTACTCAACTTTTTTTTTGTCTGTTTAGATGAACTTCAAGCAAGTGAAAACTGGATTCATGAAAAGATTTGAAGGTAGCTGGAGAGTGGAACCCCTGCTTGTTGATAAAGATCTTTGTCATCCGTTCAGACCTAATACATTAGCGGATTACATTTCGTACACTAAAGGAAAAGGAAGGATTGGATCAACGGTTAGCTTGGAGCAACTCATTCAACCAGCTATTGTACCTCCTCCACCCATTTCCTGGTATCTTAGAGGAATAACTACCAAGACAACTGAGATGATTATAACAGACTTGCTTGCTGAAGCAGCTAGAATAAGAGGATCTTCCAACAATGATGGTTACCAAGGTTTGAAGGTAAATGAGGAATCTTCTGTTGAATCCCAAGTAGGTGATATTCGTGATATAAAAGAAAGGTGGGCATTGAGAAGGAGAATGGCAAGGCATCGTCAGAGAAGATTGTCTTCGATTGCCAAGTCATCATAATCTCTATTCTAGCAGTGTAACTGTGTAAAGCGCATTCTTTATCGTAGCATAGCTGAGAGGTTTACTCTAGCAAAGTATGCTTGGTGTAGCAAATTATAGAATAATGTATATCCGAGTGTCTATTCTGATTTATTGCAATATAATGGACTGAGAAATTGTTGTCTTCATGTTGTTGCTTAATTGCTGAAGCTCTCATCTGCAGTTGGCCATCTACTGCATAGGTCATCTAGGTCTCGTATCTGGCTCAGTGATCTCTGTAAACTCCTAATTTCCTTAAACTGCCTGATTTAATACAAGGTGGATGCTAAAACATCCATTGTTAATAGTGTTCAATTTACTATGTTGCCTCCTTGTCTGCCTACTTGAAAATGAATCTGAATTTTTGTGATTCAGAGAAAATATTTGGTGCACCAAGAGTAGCAGCCAGCTAGTCCAGCAGATGACTGTTAGAACTCCTGAAAAGCTTCGGTGCTGATTTAGATATTACTGCACCAAGGAATTTTTTGAAGATTTGGAAACTTTTTTAACTTTAAACTTTTTAGTTTAACCTTAAGGATTGCACTTATAGCAATAGAAACATCATGTCATCTTTAAAACCACAAGTTCTAAGGTACATGTATGTGCCAAAAGTCCTTTATTTCTTAAACATGTTTAGTCAAATTAAGTAATACAAAATGAAACGGATGGAGTACTCACTAATTAGGGGAATGTTAGTGTGTATTTCGTTATGGAAACTTATGTACCTAGTAAAATTATGTTGTTTCACAAACTTATGGTATCTTCTCGCTCTGATACCAAAAATAAGGTTATATTAATATTTCAATAAGGTTATAATCGCTTAGCCTTGTCGGGTACTTCATTGGGCCCCATCGTCACATGGCTTGAGCAGAGATTCCCTTTTGTTTGTCGTTTTACAATTATTTTTCCACTCAAATTGTCTTTCAGTACTACTTTATGTTACTTTGTCTGGTGTTTTCTTCTTTTTTCACGTATCATCTACATTATTGTACTGATATTGCATTTGTCTTTGTCTTTTTCAATTATTTCTGACTGAGATCCTGCTCACTTTCACGTGTCCAAATTATGTAAGGCTATTGAATCAAATTTGTATAGCCCGATACAAATTTTTCTAGTTAGAAAAATTATGTTGAATAAATTATACTCTTCCTTGGTAGATTCAACATATTATTTACAATAATAATATAAACCTACTTACAAGGAAATAACCTGATACCAGGTTATATTACCAGGTTATAGTAATGTTATACTACAAGTATAGAATGGACAACATTTACTAATAATTAAAAGCTATTCGTTTAGTTAAAGGATGTTGTGTCAACATAAATATAATTTATTCTAATTGGATATATTTTATCTTATTTCTAATTGTTCTGTGGTAATCTTTTTCTTGTTCTATTTCAATATTAATTCTTTTTATTTCAAAAAGAAGATAATTCTTAAAGTCTTTGGTGTTTAAGCTAGCTAGTTTGAATTTCAAGCCTTAATAGCAATGGGACCAAATCCTTACAATTTTACGAATAAAATACATAGTTTAATTACGGTAGAAGACCCAATTAGTAGATTAGTCGTACTACTACTACTACAGAAGAACGCTCTAATAAAATTATTTGACATCTATTAATATTAAAGCTTTAAAACTAAATTAAACTATAAGATTTTCTTATTATTCTGTCACGACCCAAAAATTCCTCCGAAGTAGTCGTGATGGCACCTAGTCTCTAAACTAGGTAAGCCTAACATTAACTGAAATAACATTGATATTTACTAACTTTAAATTAAATTACTCTGAACAAATTATAATTCCCAAATCCGGTGGTACAAGTCATAAGCCTTTCTAAGAGTGGTTATACAAAATAAATACATCATTGTTCCGAAACAAAAGGAACATATGGAAATAAGTACAATTGAAGGTGACTCCGAGACCTGCGAACGCTACAACAGGTTTACCTTGAGTCTCCACCGCAACGACCCGCACAACTACAATCGATCGAATACCTGGATCTGAACACAAAAATGTACAGAAGTGTAGTATGAGCACACCACAGCGGTGCCCAGTAAGTATCAAGACTAACCTCGGTGGAGTAGTGACGAGATCAAATAAATCGAACAGGATATGATAATAAACTATCAACATAAAGATAACAAAGTAATATCAACAACAGGGAGAGAACAAACTACAATCAGTAGAAACAATAAAGGGAAACACGGATAAAAATGAAAGATGACCAAGTAAATTAACACCAACCTAGCTGTAACACAGATAAGTAAAAATGTACTCAAATAAGGAAGGCGATGTCTGCTCAATAAATCATATCATTTCTGATGCACAATTCCAGCCATCTTAAACTCGATGTCTCATATCATAACCTCAATTACCAAACTTTTAGCACATCCGGCACCTTGCGCCCACGTATTTCTATCTCACTTTGCACAACAACGTTCTCATAGTACTCATTACATAGGGTCCATAACCAATACAATTAAGATGTTCAAGGAGTCTCATTTACATAACATAAAGTAGAGTACAGCTTCCAAACCAATTAGGAACTCAGCAAGAAAAGATGAAGTTATTTTTAGATATTTTTTGAATAAGAAAGTACCATTTTCAATTAAAATACAACATCGAATGAATTATTACCTTTAACATGGGATTTAATAAATTACAACTTAGTAGAAATTCCTTTTTAAGTAAAATACAACCTCAGACGGTTTAAGGGAATTTAATTGAGAAACTAATAGAATTAAAAATGTAACAATTATGGAAATTTTAAGTATTGAAATATATATAGATAAATACGGCGAGGTATTGAAAACACTATGGGTTCCAACACAAGGGATCACAGCAGTAAAGGAATCTAAATAGTTAAAACACTTGAATTGATAACAACAAATAAACACAGCAAACAGAAAGTGCACGGCATCACCCTTCGTGCTTTAACCCTCAATCCTCACCATGCAATCAATCATAGAAATGTGCAAAACATCACCCTTCGTGCTTTATCACTCTTCCTCACCATATGAATAATATAAATATGCACGGCATCACCCTTCGTGCTTTATCTCTCTTCCTCACCATATGCATCAATATAAATGTAAATGTGCACGGCATCACCCTTCGTGCTTTATCACTCTTCCTCACCATATGCATCAATACAATGTAAATGTGTACGGCATCACCCTTCGTACTTTATCATCTTTCCTCACCCAAACAGTAGAAACAATAACATCCCGGCAAGGGAATCAACGATAGAAACAAATACATCCCGGCAAGGGAATCAACAATAGAAACAAATACACCCCGGCAAGGGAATCAACTATAACCAATCTCGTTCCAACAGTTACTTTCACAAAATAAATCCCAACTTGAGTCAATACTCAACAATGGTCAAATACCAATAAAATGCCATAAGTCTTGTCCAACATGAATAATCATCAATTTAAGCATAAATAGTACATAATAAGAATCACAACAGTCACAATGTAAGACCCACGGAAAAACCAAGAAGCACAATAACCTTAACAAAATGACAAGACATAATAAGAACGTGATAACTACACCGGCAACCACAACAATTTGGGCACATAGCATATATGCACGGGGTCATAGAGGAATTCACAATTAAGAGATAATAAAACAATAAGGAGCAATCACTTCAATTAAGGCAAAAAAGGGGCAAGTAACAAGTAAGAGTTAGAGGAAAGCTAACAACATTGTATGGAGCATATAGAGGTAGGTTAAGCAATTAGGAAACTCAATCATAACGGAATACTTCCCATGCAATGAACATAAGGACCTAAGAACCCTAAAGATAAATTTTCCCACCAATAAGTCCGAGCACACACTCGTCACCTCGCGTGCACGGACTACAAATAGCATAGAAGACTCAACTCCTAAGGGGAAGGGCCCCACACAAGGTTAGGCAAGATACTTACCTCGATCCGACCAATTCAGTACTCAATTTAGCTTTTCCTTTACCAATTCACCAACGCTCGGCTCAATCTAGCCAAAAGCGACTTGAATACATCTAACAATGCAAGAGAAAACAATTCCAATTAACAAAATTATGATTCTTATACAATTTGCAAAAAGCCAACAAAAGTCAACTCCCCGGGCCCGCACCTCGGAAAACAACAAAATTTACAAAAATCGAGTACCCATTCCGATACGAGTTCACCTATACAAAAATTATCCAATTCCGATACTATTTGGTCCATCAAATCATCATTTTATATTTTTTGAAAGATTTCACAATTTTTCCCAAAGTCCATCCCAAATCACGAATCAAATGATGAATTCAATGATATATTCATGTATTTTAGCCAAATCCGAGTTAGAATCACTTACCCCGATGAACTTCTTGAAAAACCTTCGAAAAATCGCCAAGATCCGAGTTCTCTAGGTAAAAATATGAAATAAAACCCTAAATCTCATATTTATAGTGCCCCTCTCGGATTCCCATCACCGCTGACCGCGGTAAAACCACCGCTGCAGCGCTCACCCCTCCGCGGTTGCGAAAAAGTAGCGCGGTCCGCCTTCTGGTGGCTGCACAGACAGGCCTTAGTATTTGGCCATAACTTTCTCTACAGATGTCTAAATTATGATTTCTTTACCTTTCTTGAAACTAGACACGAAGGGCTACAACTTTCCTTTTTGAATCATATTAAAGTTCCTTGTAGATCAGAAGATATAGGCTTCCGAAGTCGGACCAACGAACCTGCGGATTCTTCATGACCGCGACCGCGGACCGTTTTCCGCTACAGCAGAAATTCCACCGCTACATCGAAATATCACCGCTGACAGCGGTCCTTTTGGCTGCTGGGGTTATGATTTACCGCTGTCCGCGGCCCCTCCATGATCCGGAACAACTTCCGAGTGCCGAAATGTCCGAACTCGCTCAAAACTCACCCCGAAACTCATCCGAGGCCCCCGGAACCTCAACCAAATGTACCAACACATCCCATAACATCATACGAACTTAGCCCCACTCTAATCATTTCAAANACAGCGAAATATCACCACTGGAAGCGGTCCTTTTGGCTGCTGGGGTGATGATTTACCGCTGTCCGCGGCCCCCCACGATCCGGAACAACTTCTGAGTGCCGAAATATCCGAACTCGCTCAAAACTCACCCCGAAACTCATCCGA